TGCTTCTGCAAATGTTTTTAGACCGATTTCAACGAAGCTAACACCGAAAATGGTGCAACAAATGTGCTGAAAGTCACATCTACGATAAGAGACCACAGCTATAAAGGGAACAGCCAACCATTCAATACTTTAGTAAGCAACTTACCAGTAACTATGGCGGATGCTGTATACTTCGAACCAATGCGCACTTCTGTATTCGTCACGACAGGAGGATCCAAGAAGAAACTCGTTAATCATACTATTAAAAGAATAGCTTGTAAGGTTGCATTTTTCTGGATTTTAAAAGATTTATCTACAATTTGTCCAACTTTTAGCTTGTCTTTCCATCTGGTTCGTCATTTTATGCAAAAGATGAACAAGTATATGGCTTCATACCGGAATGGGGAAAAATAGAAGTGACGTTGTATAGGAAGGTAATAGACAGAATCAGCACTTAGTTGACTAAGTGTACTCAACGAGCTTTTTCTAGCCCGGAAAGCCGACCAATGAGACCATGACAATCCAATTTGCCGCCGCCCCAACGGGCGATGACCCAAAGGCCAGCTTCTCCACTGGTGTCCCACAAGGGGAATACGGTGGAGAAACTCAAGTGAAACTTGTTGGCACAGAATAAATGAAAACAAGATCGAACCAAAATAAAGGCTTAATTTTTTTTGGCAAGTATTACTGCTCTTCTGTATCTATTAGAAAAGCTCTCTCACGTCATCTTTTTATACCTGGTTGATTCTCAAATGTAACTGAGTATTGGAAGGAGTCCTTAATGAAAACCATATACAGATAATGTCGTAACATATGCACTTTCCTTAGATTGGTTACGGTTATTTTTTCCAATTGACCAGCTTCTTCTGCTTTCCTCTTCCCTTGTCGCGGGGCTTAGGAACAAATTTTTAAAAAGACCACTCTGTCACGGAAGTTGTGATTGGTTTATCGCGGTCTTTGACTCGGAAGAAGTTACTTGCGAACTTTGCCTTCTCAGATTTTCTTAGTAAACCTTTTGAAGACCATTCGCTTTCTTACTAGCAACAAATCAAACCATAGTAACTTCATTTCACTTATAATAACTTTATAAAATAGTTTTTTCAAAAAAATATGCTCTGATTTTAAATTATCAATAAGTGATTGCAAAGGGAATTTGTTCGCATCGAAAACGCGGTATCCTTATGAACTTGGAAAAATTCAGTTATTAGTCGGTTTAATCCTGTTTCACGTTTGTTGCCAATCGAGAGCCGATGGGTTAAGATGTATTAATGGATACAAGAAAGAATGGAAACTAACATGCACTAAGTTAGTAAGAGCTAGCAAAAGAACATATAACAAACTTGACAGTAGACTTCGGAAATTACAGAGAATT